AACCAAGCTTATGTTTGTATACAGAGTGAAATGTTGGTCTGTACTTGGTTTTGACCAGACTGTTTTCCAGTTTTCACAGTAGTTTTTGTCAGATTGTGAGTTCTGGCTACGAAAGCTGAGGTCTTTGGCTTTATCGCATAATAGGTCACTATGCTCTTTTGCTTCTATATATTGTGTACCTAATCTGTTCCACTGATCAATCTATTTCTTACCCATAACCAGATTGTTTTGATAATTAAGGTTTTGTAGTATAGTTTTAGATCAGGTATTGCCAGGCTCCCTTCCTTTTCCTTTTTTTTCCCATTGATTCCCTTGATACTCTTAGCTTTTTACTCCCGCAGATGAATTTTGTTATTTTTCCCTCTAGCTTTATAAAGTAGTCCTTTAGTAGTTTAATGGGTATAGCACTGGATAAGTAAATTAACTTAGGTAGAATTGTCATTTTTATTATATTGCCTTGGACTGCCCACAACCGATGTTTATCTAATTTTTTAGAGTGGTCTCTCTTTATAATTCTGTTCATATAGTTTATGTGTATATCTTAGCATGTAGGTTCCCTGTATTTTATAGTCTGTAGTTACTTTAAATAGAATTCATCTCCACCTGCTGGATTTTGTTGATAATATACAGAAATGTGTGGGTTTATTTTATGTCCTGTAACTTTGTTAATTGTTGTTTAAGTTAGGTTTTTGGTTTACTCTCTGGGGTTTTCTAAGAAAGTTATCACATCTGCAAGAAGTGATAGTTTTGTTTTCTCTTTGCCTATTTTATTCTTTTAATTCTTTTTCTTTTTATTGCTATAGCTAGAATTTCTAGTACAGTATTGAATAATAATGGTGATAATGGATAATCCTTGCTTACCTCCTGATCATATTGGAAAGTTTTCTAGCTTATCCCCATTATAGATAATGCTAGCACTTTTTTTGGTGGTTTTTAAAAAAATATTTCAATTTATTATTTATTTTTGACCTTTTTTTTTGACTTTTTGAGTTCTAATTCTCTCCCTTCTTACCCCTTCCCCCCTTTCCCACTGAGAGGGCAAGCAATATGATATCAGTTATACATGGGAAATTATGCAAAATTTATTTCCATATTAGCCATGTTTGCAAAAAAAGCAAGAAAGTGAGAAAATTATACTTCAGTTTGTACTTAGAGTTCTTCAGTTCTCTCTTTGGAGTTGGAGAGCATTTTTTCATCATGGGTCCTTTGGATTATCTTGGATTAATTACTTATCTTGTATTAATCAGAGTAGCCAAGTCTTTCACAGTTGATCATCATCATCACAACATTGCTGTTACTGTGCACAGTGATCTCCCAGTTCTTCTCATTTAACTCTGCATCAATTAGTGTAGGTCTTACAATTTTTTTCCCCTGAAACCACTGCCCTCCCCCATCATTTCTTAAAGTACAGTAGTACTCCATCACAATCATATGCCACAACTTGTTCAGTTAATACCCAGTTGATGAACATCCCCTTGATTTCCAGTTCTTTTCCACCTCAAAAAAGAGCTGCTGTAAATATTTTTGTACATATAAGTCTTTTTCCTTTTTCTTTAATCTCTTTGGGATACAGACCTAGTAATGGTATTGCAGGGTCTAAGAGTATGCACAGTTATATAGCGCTTTAGGCATAGTTCCAAATTGTCCTGCAGAATGGTTAGACCAGTTCAGTACTCCATCAGCAGTTCATTAGTGTACCTATTTTTCCTTCATTCCTTCTAGCATTTGTCATTTCTGATAGGTGTGAGGTGGTATCATAGAGTTATTTTAATTTACATTTCTCTAATCAGTAGTAATTTAGAGCATTTTTCCATATGACTGTAGATACCTTTGATTTCATCTTCTGAAAACTGCCTGTTTGTATCCTTTGACCATTTATCAATTGGGAAATGGCTCTTATTTTTATAAATTTGACTCAGTTCTATATATATTTGATAAATGAGACCTTTATTAGAGATACTTGCTGTAAAAATTTTTGATATTATTTTATTGACTTTTTAGCAAAAAGTAATCTTCCTGATTATCTCTTTTAATTATGTCTGTTTTTGTTTTGCCCAAGATCATAATTGCTACCCCTGCCTTTTTTTTTTTACTTCAGCTGAAGCATATTAGATTCTGCTCAAGCCCTTTATTTTGACTCTGTGTGTGTGTGTATGTCTGTGTCTGTTTGTCTGTCTGTTGCAGGCATCTCTTTGTAAACAGCGTATTGTTGGATTATGGTTTCTAATCCATTCTGCTGTCCACTTCCATTTTATGGGCGAACTCATCCCATTCATATTCACAGTTATGATTACTAACTCTGCATTTCACTCCATTCCATTTTCTTCTATTTATTTCTCTCTCTCTTTTTTTCCTGTCCCTAATCAAAAGTCTATTTTGCTTCTAACCATCACCTACCTTAATCTGCCCTCCTTTTTATTACTTCTCCCTCTTATCCCCTTCTCCTCTTATTTCCCTGTTGGTCAGGTTCTGTACTTGAGTATATGTGTATTTGTGTGTGTGTGTGTGTGTGTGTGTTGTATGTGTGTGTATTTTTACCTCTTTAAACCAATTCTAATAAAAGTGAGATTCAAGCATTGTGCCCCCCACCTCCACCATTTCCCCCTCCACTGTAAAAGTTCTTCCTTGCGCACCTCTTTTATGCTTTCCCGATCCTACCTCTCCCTTCTCCCTTATCCCAGTTCATCCCCTTTCTCACCCCTTTGGGTTTTTTTTTTTGGAGATTATTCCAGAATAATCAACTCACACCCATGTACTCTGTCTACGTAAACTCCTTTTAACTGTCTTAATAATGATAAAATTCTGAGGAGTTATGTGTATCATCTTCCCATATAGGAATGTAAACAGTTTAACTTCATTGAGTCTCTTAAGATTACTCTTTCATAACTATGCCCAAAGGGCTACAAAAATGTGCATACCCTTTGATCCAGCAATAGCACTTCTAGGGCTATATCCCAAGAGATAAAACAAATGGGAAAAGGACCCGCATGTACAAAAATATTCATAGCAGCTCTTTTTGTGGTGCCAAAGAATTGGAAATTGAGAGGCTGCCCATCAATTGGGGAATGGCTGAGCAAGTTGTGGTATATGAATGTAATGGAATACTATTGCGCTATAAGAAATGATGAACAGGCTGACTTCAGAAAAACCTGGAAAGACTTGTATGGTCTGATGCTGAGTGAAGTGAGCAGAACCAAGAAAACGTTGTACACAATAACAGCCACGTTGTGTGATGACTAATACTGATAAACTTAACCCTTCCCAGCAATACAAGGATCTAAGACGGCTCCAGAGGCCTTGTGATGGAAAATGCTATCCACATCCAAAGAAAGAACTATGGAAGTTGAATTGCTATTTTTTTTCTCTTCTGTTTGGTTTTGTTTCCTCTTTCTGATGGTTCCTCCTATTGGTTTTAATTTTTACTTATAACATCACTAATGTGAAAATATGTTTAATAAGAATGGAAATGTATAGCCTATATCAGATTGTGCTGATTGGGGAGGGTGATGGGGAGAAAAATTTTAAACTCAAAAGCGTATGGAAGTGATTACTGATAAATCAAAACAAATTAAGAAAATTAAGAAAAATTTAAAAATTAAAAAAATAAATTAAAAAAAGATTACTCTTTGATGTTTACCTTTTTATGCTTCTCTTGACTTTTCTGTTTGAATATCAGGTATTCTATTCAGCTCTGGGCTTTTCATCAGGAATGCTTGAAAGTCTTCTATTTCACTAAATGTCTATTTTTTTCTTTCTGAAGAGTTACATTTAGTTTTGCTGAGTAGGTTATTCTTGGTTGTAAAACTAGATCCTTTCTCTTCCAGAATATTGTATTTCAAGGTCTGCATTAGTGGTGACTATTAAATCTTGTGTGTTCCTGACTTGTGGCTCCTTAGTAGTTGAATTCTTTGTTTCTAGCTGTCTGAAGTATTTTTTCCTCAACCAGGAAATTCTGAATTTTGACTATAATATTCCTGGGAATTTTCATTTGTGGGTTTCTTTCAGGAGGTGACTGATGGATTTTCTACTCTGCCCTCTGGTGCTAAGATAGCTAGGCAGTTTATTTTTATGATTTCTTGAAATATGATGTATCAGCTCTTTTTTGTAGCTTTCAGCTTTCTAAATTGTTTTAAATTATATTTGTAAATTTATTTTCTAATTTAGTTGTTTTTCCTGAGGTATTTTACATTTTCTTCTATTTTTTCAGACTTTTTGCTTTGTTTTATAATTTTTTGATGTCTCATAGAGTCATTAGCTTCCATTTGGCTAATTCTGATTTTTAAGAAGTTATTTTCTTCAGTAAGATTTTGTATTTGTCCAAACTCTGGCTTTTCTCATTTTTTCCTCTACTGCTCTCATTTGGTTTTTAAAATAATTTTGTAGCTCTCTTTAATCTCTTATTTTAACTATTCTGGGAATTCTTATTGGACTGTGTCCAAGCTACATTATCTTTTTCTTTGAGGAATTGCTTGTAGATGTTTTAATGTCATTCTGTTCTTCTATGTTGTTGTCTTTAGCTTCCCTGTTACCAAAATAACTTTATGGTGTGATTTTTTTTTTCTTTGCTCATTCTTCCGGCTTACTTCTTTATTTTGGACTTTGTTAGTGTTGGGCACTGCAGACTTTCAGGGGGGATGTCAGGCCTGAGTTTCTGTCATTTTACATCCTTCTGTTTTCTCAGCTCAGGCTGGAGGCCTGCAAGCTTTAGTGCTCCTAGAGTGGTGTGATTTGGGGCAAGATCTATTCATTGCCCTGCTAATCTTAGCTCTATAAATTCCTGACTCAGCTTGAGTCTCTTAGCTTGTCCTTATTTTAAGAGTTTTAGTGGGTTGCTGTTGGACTCAATCATAGTTAGACTGCTGGAAAACTCTGTTCATTCAGAGTAACTGACCAGCTCCTCTTTGGTCTAGGACCCTTTCACAGGTTATACTATCACTACAGGCTTACATTCAGAGCTGAATTTTAACTAACCATTCTTCTCCCTCCTTGTATTTCATTAGCCAGGATCCTGTCTCCCTTTCCCGTCTCACCATTGCTGACCTACTGCCAGATCTCCAGCATATTCTTTTCTGGATGTCTAACTCCATTGAGCTCCTTTACTTTGTCCAGCAGAAATCTCCACTTTACATCCAGAGCATGGAAGAGGAGCTAGATGTCAGAGGTATGATTTTTCTGTTATTGTTTGACACTGATTGGGCAGCTTTAGTTTGATATCACCTTGACTGAGTGGCCCCATTCCCAGGAGGAATTTGCTCAGTGGACAGATTCTGGAAAAAGGGAGGACTTCCCTTTGTGCCCACTGTATGCATAATGTAGGAGTTTTCTTATATGGAACCAAAAGACATTCCTATCAACTCTGCTCTAATAAAAATAATCATTTGAGTTAACTATATACCATCTTTCTCACAGAATCATAAGCATGCTAAGCCTGTTATTTATCATCATAACATATTCATTTTTCGATTGTACAAAATAAGACATAGAGGGCAGCTAGGTGGCACAGTGCTCTGGCCTTGGAATCAGAAGGACCTGAGTTCAAATGCGGCCTCAGACACTTAACACTTACTAGCTGTGTGACCTTGGGCAAGTCACTTAACCCTGATTGCCTCGCCGAAAAGCAAAAAAAAAAAAACCAAACAAACAGCAAAATAAGACATAGAGAACTAAAGTGTGATACAGCTATTGAAATTCTGAGTATCCAAACTGCCGTTGACTTCATTGTGCCCTCAGTGTGTGTATACAGCTGAATATCCCTGAGAGAAGTCAACAGAGCCCATCTTAGAGAACCCAGTAAAAACAAACAAACCCTGAGTGCTCGGCGTGCCATACATAGACACTCTGTAGGATCCTGGATAGCTAAGTACCTGATAAAGGAACAGAACTGTTAAAAATAACCTCAGTTTTTGCAACCTTGTAGCTGAGAGTCCAGCTCTGTACAGTGGGTACCAAATAGAAACAAATTTTGTAACAGAGAAGATCAACCTGTTCATGGCAGAATCATCAGGTGGGCAGTTGAGGGCGTTCTGCCTGGAGCCCTTTGGAAGCCACGGTTTGGAGTAGAGACTGCATAGACAAGGGAAGGTGGCAGATCATCTGCTTGTGGAGAGTTTGCTGATTTCTCTTGGTAGAGCCTATGTCTCAGGTGCATTCCCTTAGACTTGCACACCTAGCCTGTAAAATGGGTAGAAGAAGAGCCATGTTCAGAGAGATCTAGGTCAAGTTAAATGCCAGCTAGAGAGTTGTTCCAGGCTTTCTCACTCTTGAGCTCTGCTAACCTCATTTTCCAGCCTGTGGGAAAAATCTGAGGAATGGCAAACTAGTTTACTTGGGGACAGGATTGTTCTTTGGAAGAGGCTTTTGGGAGGTGAAAAGGCTGGTGTGGAGGAAATAATCACTCTAGTCAAGTGGGAGGTGACAGATCCTAGTTACTATGAATGGCTAGGACTAACCAGGCTCCCCCTTAGTATGTTATGGTTTCTTAGTAGTTTATTTTCTCTTTTTACTTGTAGTCAAGGAAGAGAGACCTTACAGCATTCTGGAAGGCCTCCAGGACTTTGGTTATCTAGGTTTCCAATATTGATATGATATGAGAGGAGGGGAGGGCATTCTTCCCTGATGAGAGTTTAAAAAAAGTTATTTTCCCACAGGCTGAAAAAATGTAGGGGGCAACTAGGTGGTGGCCTCAGACACCTACTAGCTATGTGACCTGAGGCAAGTCACTTAATCCTGTTTACCTCAGTTTCCTCGTCTGTAAAATGAGCTGGAGAAGGAAATGGCAAACCACTTCAGTATCTTTGCCAAGGAACCCCAAATAGGGTTGCAAAGAGTCAAGACATTACTGAAATGACTGAGCAACAAAAAATATATAGTGCCGATGTATAGTTTGGCCAATGGGCAGTGAAATGGTAGAATGTTTCCTCATACTTAGACACAGGTCCTTTAAGTTTTTTGAGAAAATCTGTTGAAGGACTTTAAGCTTGGGCAACCACTCAGGTAATGTCTTTGTAGTCCTATGAAATAGTTTCTGCCTTTTTGTCCCTTCTCTTGGGGAGGTCCAGCCCCTTGGAGATTCTGTCTAGTGACCTGGCATCCTTAGAATTTGCCCTGCCTACTTTATGAAGAGTATTCCACTTCAGCTTGCAACATCAATAGACATTTAATATTCTTCATATCTTTAGGAGTTCTTATTTTGTCAAAGACCATCTGGCCCCCTTGGGAATAGGTTACTCTCAGAGACCCCAGTTCCAAAGGAGATACCAGTTGGGGCCTTCACATGCAAGAGCATCTGGAGCAGTGTCCAACTCAAGAAAATCTATAAAACCCCAGATTGTTAAGAAGGACTTGATGAAATATTTGTGGGAGTGTTATTTAGGTACGTTAGATCCAAATTAGGGAGACAGTCTTGTAACATTGGGAAAGTTGATAGCATTCCTTCATATCCCATCATAAGCTTTGGGAACTGGATTCCTTTTCTCTTTCACACTTCAAATTCATAAACTTTTACACTAAATTTCTCTTTGATAGTCCTCTTCTTATTGGTATTCTGCAAGACACAATAACATAGGACAGGGCTCTTGAAATGATTTTTGGTTGGCCTGCTCCTGGGTTTTCCCTTTTCTTACTCAAAGAGTTAAATGGTGGATTTTTTTGGATATGTGGTTTGCTGTTTTTCATGGAAAAAGGATGTCTTCATAAAACTGAGGAGCCAGTGATTTAGTGCAGAGAAAAAGGTCAGTTTCTTTAGTCAATTTTTTTGTCTGAATTGCCACCAAGAGAAGAAAACCATAAATACATCTCAGGGAGATAATTCTTGGGTTTATGGCTTGAATAGAGTTTAGATCTTTATAGACTGTTAGCAACTTGCCAGTCTTATCATTTGACCCTCAACTCTCACACTTAGTAAGGAAAATTGTAGAATAAGGGAAGCTTTTGGGCATGAAAATAGACTGGTGGGAAGCAGAGGCAGGATTTTTGAAAAACAAATAAATGTTATGATAATAGCAGACTCCAAAGAGCTTAGAAGGAAAAATAACAACAAGAGGGCAAAGGAAAGGTTAAAATCAGCATTTTAGCCTCTTGACCCACAGGAAATATCTGTGAGAAGAATTTTAAAAACAAAGATGTCATGTCCTGAGAGAGTTTAAAATACCGTTTTTTACAACCTAAAAAAGTTACCTAAAGTGTTAGTCTGAAACTTTTGTAAGAAGGAGCTCTTATTTTACATACAGGTACATAAAAGAAAGAGATTCATCACGTTGTTTATTTTATATGTTTCTGGCACATTCATTTTATATTTTTAGGCTTTTCTGGATCACTCTTTAGCCCTTGGTGCCGATTTATTCAGGCACTCAGAATTAGTCAGTTCTCACATGTAGGTAGCCCAAACAATTGGTCATAGCCTGTGAACAGAAAGCAAGATTTGTCCTAGTCAGTGTCTCTGGGAAGCTAGTATAGACTGTAGATGCATAGCAAGTGACATGTTTGTCATCTTAGAGTATGCATGAGGTTATCTGATTGGTTTAGAAAGCAAGAATACAGTGAAGATTCTTTGAAATGCCTGGCACACTAATAATGAATATATTTAAATGAAATGATCTGTGTTTCTCTGAAAATCCCTGAGATAAATATTTATAATTAAGCTGTTAATTTTGTTAGATCCAGCTCTTTTAGCCTTCTTATCTGCTCCTTTGACACCTCATAGTTATACAGTGGCTTTTGAATTGAGTGTCTTAGAAAGTCTTTCAGGACAGAAAAACATAAGTTTATGGAATTTAAATAGTAAACAGTTTACGTTTTATATCCAGGAGTATGTTGGCCTCTATTTATACCATATTCTATGGCGTATGAGTCCTGTACTTTAGATTATTGGAATGCTGGACTCACACTTTCAAATAGGTTATTTGTACTTATACTATCTAGCAAGAAATATGAATTTATCATCATTCTGCAGGATTGGTTTATGTAATTAGGTGAGGTGAAGACCAGCAGAAGGGTTACTGCAGATGGGATTTAAATACCCTACCAGCAGGATGTTAACAACCAAGTAAGCGAGCAGCAGCAGAACTGCAGCAGAAATCTGACAGGAGACGGTTGCCGGCTGTACCTTTGTGGGAAAGCTCAGTTGGATAATGGAAAGGAATGTGCCATTTGGCTGCACAGGGAAAAACCAAGGGTGGGGCTGGTTTGGCAAGCTTGACAGTACTTTAGCTCCCTGGTGCCTTCGTGTGTGCTGAGTGAATAAACAGTGCTCTGCAGAGCTGTTGGAATGAGCTTTCAGGCTTAGGGATGAGGAGAGGTCATCAGTATCTACTCTGGGATGAAAGTACTGTGGGAAGGAAAACAGCAAGATCCGGATGCACATGGGATAGATTGAGTGTCCGTTAATATTTTAATAGGCCAGGCTTTGATTGTTCCTTGCTGACCACTTTATGCAGTATTCTTTTTTATTATCCAACACTAAGTAAGGTAGAGTTTTAGTTCTTCATTGGTGTTCTGGTTTAAGTGATTAAAGAACAGAATAGTTCCAAGGATCCTGTTGCATATTTGACTTGAGAGCTGCCAGGAAAGAGCAGGAAGAGCCTTGGTTTTGCTTCTGATGCTCCTACTAACTCTTTTTGTTATGTTGGGAGCATCACGTGATTTGGGGAGATGCCATTTCCCTTCTGAGAAGTAGAAATAACATCATCTGCTAAAACCTATGTGACAGAATATAAATAAAAGAGAGGTTCCCCCACTTCATTTATTTTAAAAAATATTCTAATTTGAAAGATTTGGTGGTTTCTTTTGAAACCTTTCGTTGTGTCTTTTTGGCAGTGTTTCTCCTGATTTGGGGTTAAAATCTGTTTTGTCCCTTACCCACTAGTGGGGTGATCTCATTACAAAAAATGCATGAGGTACAGATGGTACCCTATTTTGTTTACAATTTGCCTGTTAGTTTCTTCTAACAAGCTGATACAAATTTGGTTTGGTCTGATTGTGGCCAAAACCACTTTCAGCCCAGAATTCTTTTTGACTAGCTGTAGACTTGTTTACCCTTCCTTTCCTGTCCTTACACTGTGTGTTGCTGTTTCCTCTTAGGTTCTAAGGAGTCACTGTTTTCTTCAACCATCACAGCCAGTGAGGAAGCCATGACAGTTTTAGAGGAGGTGATCATGTATACATTCCAGCAGTGTGTGTATTACATCTCTAAGGTATTGTCGGCTCATTTCAACTTCATGAGAGTTGAGGTTCTCCATTGGGTTGTATAGGATATCTTCTTAACTTGTGTCCATCGTGCAGACAAAAATTTGAGACACAGTAGTAATTATGGAGAGAATAACCTAATAACAAAGTCTTTATGGCCTTGAAACTAACCTGGAGACTTTTCTCTCCATTCAGAAACCCTCTTTCTTCTTAATCTCTTATGACAAAATTGAATCAGGGGCAATGATCAGTTATACTAATTCTACTAGGACTCCTTTAGGCAACAAAGAAAGAAACAGACTTTACTTCTCTTCCTGATCTTTTATCTCCTGTCCCTCCCCCAAAACCCTTATTGATTTGTGTTCTCTTGTTAGATCCTAACATGTGTTTCCTCTTTCCAAAGTTATGACATGCTCTTTAGTTTCAGTGCGTGAATGATTTTAAGAAGCATAAAGCATGAATGAAGCAAAGATTGATTGGTTGATCTAGTTATGAATCCAGACCTATAAATGACCTATGTCCTTTTGCTACTGTAGCAATAGGACAAGGACATTCTTGATAGTGTCCTATACAGGACGTATTTTTTGATGAAATTGAATTATTTGATCTGGAGTCAGTCATAGTTTTCTTTATAGTTGATCCTATTCAAGCAAAACTTCAGAGGGGAAATTAATTGACTGTAGTCACCTATCTTTTGGAAAGAAACATTTATTCAGCCACATTCCTACCACCCCCCAACATCTTCAACCCTCCACAAGAATCTTAATCCCACTTTATGTTAATGAAGAATCCATTTTGTTATCTGTAAACAAACTAATGACCCTCCATTTATACCCATGAATTTACTATCCCTTTGTGGCTCAGTGTTTCTTTGATTCCAGGAAATTTCCCAAGTTCTATGGGGTCATAGACTTATAGAACTCTAGAGTTGGAAGGGTTTTCAGAGATCCAAGTCATGGCCACTCACTGCACCAGTTGGAATGAGAGTTCTTTGTGTGATTTTTGAGTTTTAAAATGGGAAAAGAGATTTGATCTGTTTCTCCTACACATTTCAATTCCTACATTTGACAGCAAATGCTTCTACAAATGAGTGATTATGTGGTAACCCAGGATCCACGCTGGAGATAGGAAGAGGAGGAATCCAATAGGCAAGACTCATGTGTAGAAGAGATACATTAAGAGAATATTCTAAACAGTTGGCTAGAGGCCAGAGCAGGATGCTGCCATGTTCCCAATCTGTGTCCAGACTAGGGTGATGATAAACCAGTTCCCTCAAAGATGGCTTCCCAACTTTCTCTTTTTTATATAAGGAAAGTCCCATTTCTTTTTTAGAGATGATCCTTCATTTAAGCGGGTAGGAGGATGGGGATTGCTGGAGAGCGAGGTGTTATCTGCCACTTTATTTCCAGATCTATTCTTTGAGATCTTTGAGCTCAGTAATTGGTTAAAGAGGATGAAAGTATGGGACTGGAATAATTCCTACTTTACTTAAGGTTAACTACAAAGGAGGATGTGCAAGATCTAATGAAATGTAATAGATTTTGCTGTAACTCTTTATTTTAACTATGTGAATCTTTGTTTAAAGTGTGTTTCTTGCAAACAACATGTTTGATTCTACTTTCCTCTTCTCTTTTATGGGTGAGTTTATCTCATTCAAAGCTTTGATCTTTAATTACATATTTATTTTTGTCCTGTTCTGTTATACCATACTCTGTGCTTAATGCAATTTACCTCTGTTTCCCTGACTCTTTTCTCTTTTCTTTGCTTAGATACCAGTCACAGGATCTTACCTTTCTTTCTCTTTCTTTCTCTTTTTTGTCTCTCTTCTTTCTTTTTCCTTTTTTCTCTTTCTTTCTCTCTCCTTTCCTTCTTCCCTCATTTCCTCTCTCTCTTCCTTCCTGTCTTCTGTACCCTGTCCACTCCTTCTCTTGTTTTCTAGTTTTCTTTTTCTTTCTTTCCCTCCCTTCCATAGCAGATGACCCTCATTTCACTGAGACTGACATCTTCCAAAGTAACTTTCTGTAATCTGGAACTGTGCCCAAAGGGCTATCAAACTGTGCATACCCTTTGATCCAGCAATACCACTACTAGGTCTGTATCCCAAAGAGATCATAAAAAAGGGAAAAGGACCCATGTGTATAAAAATATTTATAGCAGCTCTTTTTGTTGTGGCAAAGAATTGGAAATGAGGAGATGCCCATCAGTTGGGGAATAGCTGAACAAGTTGTGGTATATGAAGTTGTCGTGTAAGAAATGATGAGCAAGCAGATTTTAGAAAAACTTGGAAAGACTTAGATGAATTGATGCAAAGTGAAATGAGCAGAACCAGGATAACATTGTGCGATGACCGACTTTGACAGACTTAGCTCTTCTCAGCAGTGCAGTTATCTAAGACAATTCCAAGGGACTAATGATGGAAAATGTTGTTGATGTCCAGAGAAAGAACTATGGAATTTGAATGCAGATCAAAGCATACTATTTTCTCTCTCTCTTTTTTGTTTTTTTCTTTCCTGTGGTTTTTCCATTTTGTTCTGATTCTTCTTTCACAACATGACTAATGTGGAAATATGTTTAATATGATTGTACATGTAAGCCTATATCAGATTGCATGCCCTTTTGGGGAGGATAGGGAGGGAGAAAAAGATTTGGAACTCAAAATCTTGTAAAAGTGAATGTTGAAAACTGTCTTTGCATGTAACTGGAAAAAATAAAATACTGTTAAATGGGGAAAAACAAAGTAACTCTCCTATAATCCTTCCTCCTCTTCTCCTTTTAAAATTGTTATGCTCTCTCTCTTCCTTATCACTTGTCTTAGAAGATGAACTACTTACTGCTTACTGAAGGCATTTTATTTTTTTTTAAATTTATTTATTTATTTTTAGTTTTCAGCATTCACTTCCACAAGATTTTGAGTTCCAAATTTTCTCCCCATCTTGTCCCTCCCCCACCCCAAGATGGTGTGCATTCTGAATACTGCTTCCCCTAATTTGCCCTCCCTTCTATCACCCCCCCCACTTCTCTTATCCCCTCCCCCTTCTGTTTTCCTGTAGGGCAGTATAGATTTCCATACCCCATTGCCTGTATATCCTATTTCCCAGTTGTGTGTAAAAACAGTTTTAACATTTGTTTTTAAAACTTTGGATTCCAAATTCTCTCCCTTCCTCCCTCCCCACCCACCGTCATTGAGACAGCAAACAGCTTGATATAGGTTATACATGTGTAGTCATGCAAGACACTTCCATAATAGTCATGTTGTGAAAAACTGACTATGTTTTCCTTCATCCTATCCCACCCCTCATTTATTCTGTTCTCTCCTTGAGAGTCCCTCCTCAAAAGTGTTTGCTTCTGATTACCCCCTCCCCAAATCTGCCTTCCTTTCTATCATCCCTGCCTTCCTCCTGTTTTCCTGTAGGGTAAGATAGATTTCCATACCCAATTGAGTGTGTACATTTTTCCTTCCTTAACCAAATTTGATGAGAGTAAGATTTACTCATTCCCTCTCCCCTCTCCCCTCTTCCTCTCCACTGTAAAAAGCTTTTTCTTGTCTGTTTTATATGACATAATTTACTCCATTCTACCTCTCCCTTTCTCCTTCTTCCAGTATAATCCTCTCTCACACCTTTACATATAAATATATATTTTCCCTCCAACTACCCTAATACTGAGAACGGTCTCATGAGTTACAAATATCATCTTTCCATGTAGGAATGTAAACAGTTCAACTTTAATAAGTCCTTTATGATTTCTCTTTCCTGTTTACCTTTTCACGCTTCTCTTGAGTCTTGTATTTGAAAGTCAGATTTTCTATTCAGCTCTGGTCTTTTCATTAAGAATACTTGAAAGTTGTCTATTTCATTGAATTTCTATTTCTTCCCCTGGAGGATTATACTCAGTTTTGCTGGATAGGTGATTCTTGGTTTTAATCCTAGCTCCTTTGACCTCTAGAATATCATATTTCAAGCCCTCTGATCCCTTAATGTAGAAGCTGCTAAATCTTGTGTTATCCTGATTGTGTTTCCACAGTACTTAATTGTTTCTTTCTGGCTGCTTGCAATATTTTCTCCTTGACCTGAGAACTCTGGAATTTGGCTATAATATTCCTAGGAGTTTTCCTTTGGCAATCTCTTTCAGGAGGTGATCGGTAGGTTCTTCCAGTTTCTATTTTACCCTCTGGTTCTAGAATATGAGGGTAGTTTTCCTTGATAATTTCTTTCTTTCTTTCTTTCTTTCTTTCTTTCTTTCTTTCTTTCTTTCTTTCATTCATTAGGCAATTGGGGTTAAGTGACGTGCCCAGGATCAGATAATTTCTTGAAAGATGATGTCTAGGCTCATTTTTTGATCATGGCTTTCAGGTAGTCCAATAATCTTTAAATTATCTCTCCTGGATCTATTTTCCAGGTCAGTTGTTTTTCCAATGAAGTATTTCACATTGTCTTCTATTTTTTCGTTCTTTTGGTTTTGTTTTATAATGTTTTGATTTCTTATAGAGTCATTATCTTCCATTTGCTCCATTCTAATTTTTGAAGACGTATTTTCTTCAGTGAGCTTTTGGACTTTCCATTTGGCCAATTCTGCTTTTTAAGGCATTCTTCTCCTCATTGGCTTTTTGGACTTTTGCCATTTGGGTTAGTCTGTTTTTTAAGGTGTTATTTTCTTCATTATTTTTTGGGGTCTCCTTTAGTAAGCTGTTGACTTGTTTTTCTTGCACCACTCTCATTTCTCTTTCCAGTTTATCCTCTACTTCTCTTTTTGCTTTTCGAAACCCTTTTTGAGATCTTCCGTGGCCTAGGAACAATTCATATTTTTCTTGGAGGCTTTGATTGTAGGAGCTTTGACTTTGTTGTCTTCTTCTGATTGTGTGTTTTGATCTTTTTTTGTCACCATAGTAAGATTCTGTAGTCTGAGGGTTTTTTGCACTGTTTGCTCATGTTCCCAGCCAAATACTGGATTTTTTAACTCTTTGTTAAGGTAGGGTTCTGCTTCTAGTGTGGAGAATGTACTGTCCTAA